AGTGAGACAAAACACAACTCCAGGTCTGTTTTTGAGGAGGTATCAACATCCTAACATGGCTTAAAGGTGCACTGTGTCACTTTTTGGGGGTCTGTCACCTGCTTGTTTCTATGGAGATAAAAGTGAAAAAATGCATAGCACACTCAGATGGCTGATGTCCAAATACTTTTTTTATTAACAAAATAACGTTTCAGCAAAAAAAGGCCTTCATCAGATATTTTTCTTGCTTTGGACCACAGCACACAAAATGGTTGCCAGCCCAGGTGCCCATATACCCACTCAATGAATGGGAGGTCCCAAAGTGAGGTCACCCAGTGAGTTCAACCCACTCTACAACAAGAACCAACAGTTTAGATATTTACATAAAAAAACAACATTCTATAAAATACAGAAATAGTGTAAGTCTATCACAAAACAAAAAAAAAAACATCTTAGATCAAACTCCACATTCAGTCTGTGAGGAGCAAGAGTCTTAAGTTGGTGAATCCAGAAGTGTCTCTTTTTGACAGGAGCATCTCTAGATTCCCACCTCTAGGGGGCAGTTCCATGTGTTCAGTACCTATTTATCTTAAGGAAGAGATAGGATGGTTAAAATCTACAAAATAAGTTGCCACAGGACAGTTCATGTTTTACATCTGATTGTATTTCTCTGCTCTACAGTACTTGTTTTTAAAGCCCTGCGTGTTTTACCCACACAGGTTTTACCACAGAGGCAGGTGATCATATAAATAACAGAGTTAGTGTAGCAGGATAGAATTCCTCTGATCAGTATTTCTTTTCCAGTGTGAGGAGCTTAAAACTGTTGCAGCGATATGTGTAGTTTCACTGACTGCACCACCACAGCGGTGATTTTCATCAGGAATAGGAGTCAGTATGGTTTGGTCTGATGTGGTCTGATTTGGAGGAAGATAGGAGTGTACAAGTCTATTTCTAAGGTTTCTTCCTAATATACACCACTAGGGGGTGCTCTTTAAAAGCCCAATGAAGGGCCAGTTTTTAATATATGCCAATGTTTTGTTATGATGTTTTTATAAATTGATGTCATTTATGGAGATGTCATTGCTTTGCCTGGAATGTTCCACAGTATGACATTAAACAGCTCTACTTTACATTTATTCAGTTACAGGTGGTTTTAGAGCTCAAAAATAGTGGTTTGATCTCCATGAAGATAGAAGATGCTGTACTGTGAAACATTCCAGACAAAGCAATAACATCTCCATGGAGAAAAGCATTTGATGGACCCTCCACCAGAAAAGTTACACAATGCACCTTGAAAGCTCACAAGAGTCAAGTTTGCGTAATATAGGAGCTTTAGTATTGTGCCACAAAAATCTTTGTGGTGATAGTACAAGTACAAGCACTGCAAAGTAAATGTTGTACCTGGACGACTGAGGGATTATATAGACAGTGTACTAATGGAACACAGCTAGAGTGACCAGACAAAACAGGACAGTCCTGAAATCTCAGCTGGTGTCCTGAATCCTGAATCTGGCCCTGAATGTCCCAAAAAATTACACTCAATCAAACAGAATCCTGAGTACCATATTTTTTCAGTAAGTCGCACCTGCCAAAAAATGTGTAATTAATAAGAAAAAACGTAAGTCTCATCAGACAATAAGTCACACTTTTTAAGGGAAATTTATTTTATAAAATCAGAGACCAGGATCCGACATTTCATGTGAAAGTCAAGTTGTAGTAATAACAATAGAAGAGAGAACAACAGACTGTTAACGTCACATATGAACAGAAACAATGTTTACAGAACAAACTCTCCATCTCACTCCAAATCACTAAATCCATTCAATTCTTCATCCTCGGTGTCACTTCTGAACAACTCGACCTCGACCTCCGGAGGTAAACAGAGCACCACTTCCTCTTCTGTGTCGCTGTCGTCAGACTCAGCATCAGTTCCAGTTAGAATTATTCGGGTCTTTCTGAATCCCTGACAGGATGGTTTCAGTGTCACTGAAGTCCAGACTTTGTCCATCCATCCAGTGACTTCAGGAAAGTTTCATGGTGCATCCTCCCAGTGTCACAAGTTTCTCTCTCACTCCAAACTTTCTTTTTGTTGCTCGATTACCATTTTTGGCTGCAGATTTCACGACTTGCAGCTTGTAATCTGCAACATATGATTTTCTTTTCATCTTCTCTTCAGCATCGAGTTTGTTTAAATGTTAAATGTTCAGTTTTACAGAAGTAATGGTGCGATCGACTGACAGAGGCTCTTTCTGCAGGAGACATGTGCAGTAGAGTGAAGCAGCAGATACTGACACAGAAGACTAGAACCTCTCGACACTTCAGTGTGAACATTTTAATATATAAGTCGCACTGGAGTAGAAGTCACAGGAAACACCCAAACCATGAATGTTATTGACCCTTACATACTATTCGGGTTCATTTTGACCCGTTTTGACATTCAAGAGTAGTAAAAATACACTAAACATCATTCTTTGATCCTGAAATTTGATGACTTTTCCAAAATTTTGCCAAAATACACAAAAATGAAAATATTTAAAAACATTATACTTTTATAGACCACTGCTTTGAATGCATTGACTAGTTTGAAATAAGCATAAGGGCTGCAGTGGATAAAACTGGTTAGATTATAAATTCCAACAGTTCCAGAATATTCATGCCAGTTTCAAATGCAATAAATATCATCATCATATTGGCTTTTATGTTTTTATTTGTTTTGTAAAACAGGACATGGTACTGTGTGATAGCAGATGTTTTTCTCAAAAAATGAGTGTTGTAAAACTTACAAAAATATGCTCTTCCTGCTCTCCGAAACATTATATTTATATATTACATTTATTTATTCATGTGGGACAGACTATTTATTTGGCATAGACACTTACTGTAAGGGAATTCTTGGTTTGGGCCAAATTTGACCTGGATCATACTGTGAAAGCTAAAGAAATGAACAGTATGTAAGGGGTAATTATTTTCAAATGTTTGCACTCTATGGGTCCAGTTTATTTGAGGGAGTTACTGCAGCCCTAAACTCCACCCAGACCCTGACATCAGTTGACCAGCTCCTGTTGGTCAGGCCCAAAACTCGGCTCAAGACGAGAGGTGACATTTCTGTGGCAGCGCCCGGACTGTGGAACATCCGTCCTCTTCCTGTCAGATCCTCTCAGTCTGTAACACAGTTTAAGACGAGACTGAAAACTCACCTCTTCTCCTGCATTTAACACAAGCGAGTCAGGTTATCTTGGTGTTTTTATTGTAGTTTTCACATGTTTTCTGTATATATGTTTTGTATTTGTAACCGTTTCTTCTATTTTGTATCTGAAGCACTTTGGTCAGCTGAAGTTGTTTTAAATGTGCTATATAAATAAACTTGAATTGAATTGAATTGAATGAAAAAAAGTGCGACATATAGTCCGAAAAATACGATAGTTATTTTCTGATAAACATTAAAAACTGTTGGTAGAGAGGTTGAGTCGACTGCACCCAGCCTTGACTGCTTCGAATACGGCTACAATCTTTTTATCGTTTTGTTTATTTTTTGACGTTCTTTCTACAATTAGGCGTGAATATGCACTGACGATAAGCTCATTTTCATTCATTCGACATGGCTGCTGTACCAGAACTCCCAACATGCTGCTAAAAAGCAAAAGCGTCAGAGCAGGTACTGGGAGGAGTGGGTGGGGAAGCCCTAAGTGATGAAATAAAAGCGTGTAGAAAAGAGTTTGGTGTTTTCTCACGGAGGGGAGCTAGGTCACCCTAAACACAGCATTAAAAAGTCAGTTGAGAACAATGCGTAAAGTCCAAACACGGCATTAGAGCGCGGATATAGGTCACAGATATGAAAAGTGAAATGAGCGGGGAGCAGAGGTGTGCGCAGGATTGGAGCTTTGTGCTAATCCGATTGAAGGGCGATTTGTAGCTGAGTGTTTGATCAGAGCCGCTACAGACCGACCAGGCACGGACAAGAGGGTATGCTAATGTGGATTACAAGTGAACGCACCGCTGTCATTCACACGAGCTGCGGTATGCGAGCGTAGACCCAACACCGGGAACGTCTGAGCCAAGATTTATCTTAAAGTGCACGTTTTAACTCGAAATCTGAATCCAAGAATCCCATGCGTTTGAGAACATGTCTGTAGAGGTCTGAACTACAGGGTCAGCAGCACAGGGAGGGCATCTGACACACACAGGGACTATTTTATTTTTTATTTTTTTCCAAATCTACCCTTTGTTACCTGTCATAGAACAACTCTGCGGGATCTAATATACAGGGATACTAGAGGACGGGAGTAGTGGCGTAGTACTCCAGACCTGTATTTGTCTCCAGACCAGCCTCAAGAAGTTTTTTTTTTTTTGTCTCGGTCTTGTCTTGGTCTTGAAGGCACTTGGACTCGGTCTTGTCTCGTCTCGAGGTCTGACGTAAAAAGGGGATAGAGTGATAAAAACATTGGTATAAATGTGCCAAAAGAACTGTAAAATACAAATAAATGTAGGAAATGACAAAGATGTCTTGATTTGGTCTCGATGGGCCGTGGTCTCGGTTTTGCCTTGTCTTGTCTCGGCCTTTAAAAGTCTCGGTCTTGTTTAGGTCTCGACACTTAAAGGTCTTGGTGTTGTCTCGGTCTCGGGACCCTGTGGTCTCGAACTAGTCTTGGTCTCGATTAATGTGATCTTGACTACAACAACAGATCACACAGGTTTACTAGATGATGGGACGGCATCTGGCACACAGGCATAGAGTAGGATTATGGGAGGGTAACTGACACATGGGGATACAGTACTTTACTTTACTTTATTTTATTTTTTATTTTATTTTATTTTTTGAGGATATGCACATGTACATATTTGGAACCTACTGTTCAAAAGGAGTAGGATGAAAAACTTAAAGTGTCCTACCCCAATTGTTTTACCCATTCATGTTTGTATGTTTTTTGTTTTTTTGTTTGTTTTGTTTTGTTTTGTTTTTTTAATGGGAGGGCATCTGACATAACAGTGCCTCTTGTGTGTGTTCTTGTGTGTGTGTTCAGGTCTTCTGGGGATGGTGGCTCACATGATGTTCACCACGGCCTTCCAGCTCACTGTGAGTCTGGGCCCCGAGGACTGGAAACCCCAGACCTGGGACTACAGCTGGTCCTACATGTGAGTACTACAATACTGCAGTACAACTACACTACAGCTGCTCCTACATGTGAGTACTACAATACTGCAGTACAACTACACTACAGCTGGTCCTACATGTGAGTACTACAATACTGCAGTACAAGTACACTACAGCTGCTCCTACATGTGAGTACTATAATACTGCAGTACAACTACACTACAGCCGGTCCTACATGTGAGTACTACAATACTGCAGTACAACTACACTACAGTTGGTCCTACATGTGAGTACTACAATACAGCAGTACGAGTACACTACAGCCGGTCTTACGTAAGTACTAGAACAATACTATTACATGTGAATACAAATACACTACAGCTGGTACTACATGTAAGTACTAGCACACTACTGCAGTACAAGTACACAACATCAATACAGGTTTTGTGTCTGGAGGTGTGTTTAGTTTTTATTCCTGCAGATTTAGTTCTTCTCTCAATCCGAAAACACACAGCTCCACCTTGTGATGTCTACATACTACAGGAAGTTCCACTGTGTTTTTAAACTTCACAAACCTTCACTAGAAGCATTTAGATGATTTCAGACTGAGGAACAGTAAATAAAATCAGACTTCTCGTGTGTTTTCAGATTAGCCTGGAGTTCGTTCACCGCCTGCATGGCCTCCTCCGTCACCACCATCAACCGCTACACCAAGACCATCCTGGAGTTCAAGCACAAGCGCAGGAACATCGAGAAGAACCTGAAGATCAAACAGAAGCTCCTGGAGCTGGACTCTCCTCAGCAGGTGTGGGACATGTACCTGAGCTCTGTCCCCAGCACGGCCGAGGAGCTGCTGGACCTGTCCTCCACCAGCCGCAGGCTCTCCAACACCTCCATGTTCTTAGACCTGAGCGACCTCCCCGAGGGCTGCTCCGAGGGCTACTGCTGACCCCCACAGTGACAGGGGTACAGCTCACCCCACAGTGAGAGGGGACTGTGGGGGTTCTGCTGACCACTGGACTCTGAGGGTTACTGCTGACCCCCCAGAGTGAAAGGAATATTGATGAGCCAGCACACTGAAGGGCACTACTACAACCACAGAGTGAGAAAAACTTCTGCTGACACCATGCTTCTTGAAAAGGGGCACTTCTGAGCCCACTCTGAGTACCCATCAGAGGGGTATGTGGTCATTTCAGTGCTGAGTTCTGCTGACCCAGACTGTGTGAAGGGAACTGCTGACCCCCAGAATGCGTGTTAGATGTTGCTGACCACAGGAGGGACACTTGTGTTACTACAGACAGTGATAAAGGCTGAGCCCCTCCTTTGTGAAAGAGGAACATCTGACCTCCAGAGCCCCGGAGAGGAGGAGGTGAGGTCAGACACAGGGTCTGGAGGGAGGATGACCTGGACACAGCAGAGCCCTTCACTGTCATGGACCCTTCATACAAGCTCAAAGCTCCAGCTGATTGACTGTGCAGTTGTCAAACTTCTGAAAGACACTTGTACTCCGTGTAATGGGCTGTAGCTCCCTCTGGTGGTACAGAGTAGCAGTACAGGTGTGGTGTTAGACTGAATGTCCCTGACTGTGAACCAAAGGCAAACACAGACGTAGCAGAGCAGCAGGAGGAGCCAGACCTCAGCTCTCATTTAACTGTGACACAAACGTGAAGCCAGTGCTGTGTACATGTGACTGTAGATGTGTGTGTTTGGGGGGTTACGGGGTCTTTTTAACATGAAACATGAAATAGTGCATTATTATAATGTATCATTCTGATCTACCTCTGAATGACATAGTAAATATGCAGCTTCTTAAAGCCCCACTGTGTGACCTTTAGTCAGAAATAGACAAAAATTGTGGTTGTGCTTATTGCACACAACAGTGTCCTTACTGTGAACGGGCTTGCATCTCCGCAAACCTGACTCTTATTTGGCCTGGAGGAGGACCTCCCCCTGCATGTGTCATGGCTGTACTCTTCTACAGTTTGATATGAACGTGTCTCCATGGAGAATGTTCTCAAGTGTGGTTTAACTTTCTATTTCCATAGACTCATACAGGAGACCTGCTCCTCCAGAAAGTGACACAGTGCTGCTTTAACATACCAGAGAGAACATGAGTGAAACTGTGTTTGACACAGATCACACGTCCACTCATCCAGGAGCATTCACATCTGAGAGGCTTAAATCTGAACTTTAAACTCATCAACACTTGAGCTAATTGTGTATTCTGTACTTGTGTTTAAACAACAGCAATAGCCTACACGTCACATCACAAGTGTGCAAACTGCCAAACTGCAGGGGGCGCTGCTCCTGGCAGCAGCTCCTCTTAAAGGCACAGTACAGCCTTCTAACCTGTGATGGTCTTACAGGAGGTGTATATGCTGAAAGGACTCTGTTTGAAGAAGCGTTAGAGGTTAGAAGACCGTGTTATTTTGAAGTGCATTTGAAAATCTGTTCTGATTTGATTTTAAATGTATTTTATTTATTCAGCCTATATATTTTCTGTAAATGTTATACTTATTTCTGATGAGGTTTGTATTTCTGAAAATGAAGCATGACTTTTGTTTAAATTTAAATGTTTATGCTGTGAAACTTTGTGTAGTGACTATTAGTCATTTAACTTTTGTGATAAAATAAAATAAACAAAACACATAATATGAATATATAAATAAAGCATTTCTATGAGATGTTCTGATCTAGAATGAAAAAAAAAAATGAAATGAAATAAATAAAATCCTGCTCATTTTGGTACATTGTTGTGCATTTGCTTATTCTGTCCACTAGATGTCAGTGTTCACTAAATCAAGATTGAGCTAGAAATAAAGCTAGAAGAATAATGAATAGTGCTGCTGTGGCAATTTTGGCAGCCATCTTGAGACTGTAAAAAGCAATAACATCTCAAATCTAATAGAAAATCATGTTAAATAGGACCATGAATGTAATTGATCTGGGCTTTAAACTGACATATATAGAAAGAGAGAGACTTTATTGATCCTGAAGGTAATTCAAGTTTTGCTGCAGCAACATTTACACGTCTCAGTGTCCTTTGTGTCTCAGTCAAAGGTCTCAGGTCAGTTTAACAGGAGGACTGGTCAGGGAGGGTCAGCAGATCCTGTGGAAGAGACAAAAGTGTCTGTCCTCTCTGTCCTGCAGCACCACAGCAGAGTCCAGAGGGAACCAGGAGAACAACAACAAGAAAGGCCTCGTTCTTACTTCACTGTGGTGTTTTAGTTAGTAATGAAATGGTCCATTCCCTCAAAGTGTTTCCTGTGGAAGATCTTCTGCCACATTTGCTGCCATATGGTGTAAAAAGCCTGTAGCGTCTCAAATGTCCATAGGTGATTTTTCTTATTTCTAAGATCTTTCTCAAAATGAAAATCTAAGTCAAGTCATTTTTATGTTTATACTGCATTTAAAGGGATGATTCAGTGTCATTTCAACCTCAGGTCCGTTGCATCATGACCTCTACATGATATCTGTAGTCACCTGCTGCTGGAGAATAGGCTGGGTATAACTGATGACCAAACTGGAAGAAATGGGGAAAAAATCGGATGCAAACCGATGATAAAGGAAATGTGTGAACATATGGCCTAATAGTGGATTTAAAAAGAAAGAAAAAAAAAAGCCTCTTGCACAGTCTACATTGTCACAGTCCCTCAAGCACCTCTGACCTCATCTGCCTCTCCCTGAGGGGCCTCCTCCTTCCCCTCCCCTTTTGTGTTTCAGGAGTGGAGACAGGTGATGGAGCCATCGTCAGCTGAGCCCACTCTGCAATCAACAGGGTTGAAAAACCATTCAAGCCAGATCAGCGCTGCTAGATCGTCTTCAATCAGTGCTATGTTCCAGCTGTGTCTGTGTAACCTACCTGTAACTCATATACTTACCTTTTATCCATCTGCCTCAGATCTCCGTGCTACAGCCACCTGCTCCAGAGTCCTACTCCGACCTGCTCCAGAGTCCTACTCTGTCTATCAATTCCCCTTTGACCCGTGTCTGCTCTTGGGTTCCCTGGCTATCTGTCACATCCATGGATATGAGAAGCAAAACAAAGAGATAATTTCAAACAGTCCAACAGTGTCCACTCCCTCAAAGTATTTCCTCTGGAGGTCTTCTGCCACATTTGCTGCCACATATACTGTTTAAAAAAACAAAATAAATAAAATCTTTGTATGTGTAACTGGACCAGGCTCCTGCAGAGCGTACAACACGTCCAGAACACTGCAGGTCGTCTGCTGACAAATACCAAGAGACGAGACCACAACAAACCGGCTCCCTGTCTTATGTCAGGTGCAATTTAAATGTTTTGTGTTCAAATGTTTGCACTCTATAGGTCCAGTCTGTTTGAGGGAGTTACTGCAGCCCAACACTCGGCTCAAGACGAGACGTGACATTTCTGTCGCAGCGACCAGACTCTGGACCAGCTTTCCTCTTCCTGTCAAATCCTCTCAGTCTGTCACAATTTAAGACTAGACTGAAAACTCACCTCTTCTCCCTGGAGTTAGTACGAGTTAGTCAGGTTATGTTGGTGTTTTATTGTAGTTTTCACATGTTATCTGTATATATGTATGTGTATCTGTTTTGTTGACTTTATGTGAAGCACTTTGGTCAGTTGAAGTTGTTTTAAATGTGCCATAGAAATAAACTTGAATTAAACTGAACTGAGCTTCACACTGTCCAACAGCCCTTCAGTCATGTGCTTTGAACTGCACATGCACATCTTGTTTAAAGGTTATATAGAGGATTTTTACAGAAGTGAAATACGGGGACAGTCCTTTTTCAAATGTTGTGTATGAGTGACACCACCTTCCTCCTCCACAGCTCCCTCAGTAGAAACACCTCCTCCTGCCTCCTTACTCTAGAAATCATGCTTGTTTACATCCAGTTCGCGTTCAGAATAGGAGGGTTTCAGTCATGTGATCACGATGATGCGCGAATTTCAGGTGGAGGGCAGGAAGTGAAGACAAACACAACAAACACGGCTCTGGAGAACACGGATATGGAGAAGAGTTCTTATTGTAAGGATTTAGAGCCAGTAGCGAGGCAAAAGTACGAGCAGTTAGTCGACAAATATATTGGGCGTGACCCTGATCTTATTGAAAATGAGAGAATTTTCAACCGAAGTAAAAGATTTGCCGACAATCGAGGCAGAAGAGATCACAAACTTTTTAGCTCTTCAGACATCGTTCTACACCAGACAACAGATGAAGGCGTATAAAAGTTTGGAGGCATATAACTTTTTTTGTCAGTGGATGGGTCCTCAACCTCGGTGCAAAACGCCTAAATGATGATTATCGTTTGGTCTTCGCCAGGGTGAGTGTTTCTCTTATTTTATGTGTATAAACTGTTATGGAAAAAACTGCAGTGTATCGGCAGTGACCTCTATCTGAACTATTTAATGTCAACAAACGTCGTTAGCCGTTAGTCGTTAATGATTCGTTTATGTTTAGGTAAACCACAAAAAACAATTTATCTTTGTAACAAACCTCTGTCAAAGTGGTCACTGCAGACACGAGCATTAGCGAATTCTGCTCCTCCCGATCGTAAACAGGTTTGTAATCCACTTTTTATGGTGTTGTTCTGTCGGCTTTTCCCATTTCTGACCTTTGTGGACGACTGTATTCAGTACTCTAAAAAGAAAAAAATCGCTTTTCCTTCTCTCGGTTAGAACGATTGGCACAGCCATAAACTACACAACACATCGGCATTTTCCTCCAGTCAGCTCACTTCCTGCCCTCCATCTGATTTTGCGTGCTGACAAACGTAGCCCTGTGACGTCACGTGAAACCCAGATATTACTGTTGAACTGACCTGTCTAGAAATATTTTAGCGACCGACGTGTCGGTTTTTAGACCCTTCGTCTGCTTCAGTCGCGCCATCGCTGGAAGGACTCTCCAAGAATCACCTCAGTTTATCTTCGCTCCTTTTCTCCTTCTCTTCTTCTTTCAGCGACCT